CCCGAGCTGCCCCGCGTAAGGTGGGGCCTAAGCTTGTTCTTACGGGAGCCCTCCCCCAGGCCTCTCATGCTTGGAAAGTGTTTGGGGTTGCCCCCTCTGCGCTCTTGCAGTGGCGTCGCGCCCTTGCGAGCACCTTGTCAAGAGGGAACGCAGGCAGATGCCTCACGTCGACCTTGGCTCTGGAGGTCGGCCCCAAGGATCCCGCTTTTAGTTCGGTTGTTTCGCTCCTGGATTCCGGGTTTCAAATCGTGTCCCGAGTTTCGGATCAGCCCCTTCCTAGGATGCACCGCTGCTGGAGGGATACGGCCCAGAGAATTCGGGGCCTGGGGCCGAAGCGTCGTTGGCACAACATCCGGGGGCCTATTTCGGCCATCGTCGCCACGATGCTGGGTCTCGGGCGGCAATTGGATGGGCCCTGGCATTGGACAGCTCCAACGGGTGAAGAATTTGCCCTCCCCGATGAGCTCCGATCCGAGGCTTATATGACATCCGACTGCAAGCAGTCAGTTGCGAATTCAATCGAGGCTCAGTTGTGGGTTGGCGCCTCCAAGTTCCGCAACGCTCTCGGCTCTGTTGCTCGCCGTCATCTTGCCAGCCTGCGCAAACAGGTGTCAAGCAAGCGGGCCTGCTCAGAGCGATTCTCACAGGTGCTGTGTGGACTAGATCCCGCATCGTCAGCGCGGGAGGTCAGCGTTCGGAATTGTGTCCCAGGTGCGGGCTAAGTCCTGAGACCGACGTTCACAGATTCTGGGAATGCCCATGTAATTCAGAGTTTCAGGAAATCTCCGAGGCCCTTGCCAGGCGAGGGGTCACGGCGGCCGAGGAATGTCCTGTGCTCTGGCTCCGCGGCCTCACACCCAAGTCCTGGACACACGCCCCCCCTCCTCCCGATTCGCCTCTCTTCGCGGCGTCAGGTGCCGTTTCCCCATGTGGTGGGGCGTCGCATCTGGGACGCGGGGGACGCTAGTGGGGGGTAGTTTTCGAGGGATCGTAGGCTCAGGCGGGTGTCTTGGGGCGTCGTGATTTTTGCGCTGAGTTTAGAAGAGCTCCCCTTGTTGAATGCCGCGTCCAGCCTGGCGATTATTGCTGGGGGTGGCATCACTGGCAAGCAGAGTGTCAATCGGGGGGAGCGCTGGGCCCGTCTCAAGTTTTTGGAGCGGAGCCCCGAGGGGGCCCAGCTCGGTTATATTGCCGACTCTGCGTACGTGTCCAGAGGCGTTGCTCGTATTGCGGCTGGTCTCGGAGCCCGCGTTTCGAGCCACCGTGATTTGTGGGTGCGGGTGCGTGAGCTGCTGCGCGCTAGGGATCTGTACCTCGTCCGTGTGCCCAGCCACCTGTCTGTCCAGGAGGCGACTGAGAGAGGTCTCAACCCGAGTTTTGTGTTGGCTAACGCCATTGCCGATCACGTCGCTGGTGAATTTGAGAAGGAAGTCAGAGTGCCATATGCCGTGAGTGCGGCTGTGAAGATGGCCGACGCTGTCACGCGCAAGGTTCAGCACCACCTTCTCAGCGTTATGATTGATGTGCTTGATAAGGAGGGCAAGAGGCCCCCACGTCCGCCCAAGATTCGGGTGCGCAATACTCGTGCGAAGCGGCTCAGAACCGCAGCTCTGAATTCAGCTCACAGTTGCCCGCAGATCGCGGGAGATTTCGGTCAGTGCCGTAAGGGCGGATGCCGTGCCAAAGCCAGTGAGCTCACTGCCTTCCTGGGGACCCCCTGCCGCCCGATGTCCTGGACGGGGGCGGTTTTTCGGCCCACGGGGGCCGCGTGCGTCCGCTCGAGGGAGGTGCACGGTTCGCACCAACTCTGTTTTTGGCCTGACCAGGACGTTTTGTTTTGCACTGTTTGTGGGTGCTACTCTACCAGCCAGTTGAGAACCGAATGCTCGTTTGTTTTATCCAAGGCGGGAGCTCAGAACCTCAGCAGAATAGGTCGTGGGTTCCTCCCTGGCTCGTGCGTTTGGGGTAGGGAGCGGCAGGAGAGGAGGGAGCGTGGGAGCGGACAAAGAGGGGAGAGCGCCGCGGCCGTGGCCCGCCGCGCCGCGTTCAACTCGGACGCGGCGATGGGCGCTGTCAGGCGCCGCGCCGCCCCGCTTCCGCCCCCCCCCCGACCCTCCGCCGCCGCCGCCGCTCATCCTTGACTCGTACCTCGGTCATCGAGACCTTGCCCTATAGATTCCTCCTCCTCCTCCTCCTCCTCTTCCTCCTCCTCCTCCTCCTCCTCCTCTTCGTCTCCTCCTCATCCATGTCCCTCCTTGCCGGACGCGCCGGACGAGGCTCATGAAGTGGCGAAGCGTCCTGGCTTGCCAGAAGCCCACCAGATAATGTTCTGAGAGCCTCTTGTGGCTTGCGCGAGATGTTGTCCCTGAGCGTTTCTGGTCGACGGCGTGTCTTTCATGAGTGCATCGCTATCGCGTTTTGGGAGCAATTCTCATTATTGGAAAATGTGTCAAGAGAGGGAGGACCACCCCGACCCCCATAATTGGCGTTTGCTGAACGACCCTGGGCGTTTACTGAACAGCCCTGCCCATGGCGGTTCTTCCATTCAGTCAGTGCGTTTACGACACGGGCCCACCTGTCAGGGTGCTCATTCTGAGGGTGGCGCTCTTGTTATTGAACCCTTCCGTTTTCAGAACATGTGAGAAAAAAAGGTTCGTTTGCGCCGACATTGGCGCTTAAATTGCCCGCGCAGGGTCGCGCGTCAGCGCCTTCGTCTACGATGTGGTGTGCCGGGCTGGCGGCCTGCGTAAGCCACCGCGCAGATTCGGCATGTCATGTCGCGTACAACCGTTTTTGGCCGTCGTTAGTGTGAGGTTTTCCAGAAAGGGCCTTGCCTTCGAGGGTCGAAGGAGTTGCCATACTTTCCTCGGCGGAAGTCGGGGAAAGTAAATGGTGCACCCCCAAGAGATACATGGAAACGCTTTTGAGTTCAGGGTTCCCAGAGTCGGTCATGTCGCTCCACGCCTACAGCCTACAGTAGGCAAGGGGACGGTCGGTTCTTGCTCCATGAGGCGGCGGCGGCGCGCGCTCCTGCGGGCCAGCGCCTGCGGCGGATCACCCGGGAGTACGTCGAGGTGACCGAGACGCCGTCGGTGCGCGGCGGTGCGTGCAAGTCAGCCGCTCGCAAGGGGGGCATTATATGGGGGAGGGGGGGGGGCTTAGAAGAATCCCTGCTTCGCAGATGGCGCGGGCCTTACAGTTGGGGCGGTGAAGACAGAACCTTTCTCGTTGGGGAGGGGCTCCGCGTTCCTTCATTGTTCCACAGTTTGCCTTAGGTTTTCCTTAGGTGTTCGATGGGAAGTCGAAGCTTAAACTTATGCGCAAAAGGGGCCTCGTTCCTTATTTAGGGTTCCTTCGGCCAACGCCCCGAGAGTATCTATACATGTGGGGGGCCGGCGCCTTCCGAGACGCGGGGTCCTTCGAAGAAGCCTTCCCCGTCCCCCTACCCCCTTGGGCGCGCCGCCAGAATGAGTTCCGCGCGAGGCGGGAGCCTTCTGAGTCTGACCCAGACCCCTTCGCGACCAGAAAGACTGATGACGTGCAATTCGGTGTTGGATCATGGACCCCTTGTGAAGCGCAGCCGTCCAGCTTTCGCGCCGAAGGCCGCGAGAACCCGTTAAAGACCGCCGAGAACCGCAGAAAATCTCTTGAAGACCGCCGAAGATGGCCCAAGAGCGATCGATGGGTAACGAAAGGGTCTCTGGTCGAACGCGTAAAAGGCGTTTTTTCCTCACTGTTCGGCCTCTGGGTGCCCCCGTCGGGCCCCGGGAGTGTCAGAGACAGCACGGAGTGGGGAGCCGGTCCCCGGGGAATGGGTCGGGACCTTTGGGGGTCGACCTTCTCCAGAAGAGGATGACGTCGGGGCCTAGGCGCTCCTCGGAGAAGGCGGGGAGTGCTCAGAAAGGCCTGGCAGCCTCTGAGGACGCCGGGTGGGCGTACAAGAGGCCCCCCTGCGCACCTCGGGGGCCCCCAAGTTGGGGTGTTGACCACACCGTGCGGTGAGTCGGTGGGGATTCGGGGTCACCGCACGGTTTTGGGACTCGAGTCCCCGTCCGAGGATGTCTCGGGCGACAGGGGCCTTCGAGGTCCCAAAACCGTGCGTGGACGGACCGTGCGGTGAGGTCTTCGGGGATTTCGAGGTCACCGCACGGTCTGTCACCGCACCGTTTGGGACTCCAAAGTACCAAGGAACCCGTCCAGCCGCCTTTCTCGCCGCGCCAGCCCTTGTCAGAACCCGACACTCCCACCCCTGATCACAACAGGGGTGGGGCACGCTGGCCGAACGAGTGCCGCGACATGGCGGGGGGCTTCGGGGGGACGGCCCACGCTCGAGCGCCAGCCTCGGGAGCTGCCAAAATCTCACCCCCTACCCCTGGCCCCAGCACCCCGCCTGCCAGGGATTCCCGCCTGCCAGGTCATTTAGGATCATCACCTCGCGCGCGCCGCCAAGGCGAGCGTCAGCAGAAAAACGGAGTCGACTGCGCCGACAGTCGCGCGCAAAAGGTGCCCGCGCAATGTCGCGCGCAATCACCTTTTTTCCACTAGCGCGCTGCGCTGACGGCCCGCGTAAGCTACCGCGTGAGGTCGCTATGCCATCTCGTGAGACCCGTTTCTCGTCGCTCGTTTTGGATCATCATGTCGTGCGCGCTGCCAAGGTGTGGGAGGACGTCGAGGCCTTCTACGGCTTCGAGCCCGCCAGCGCCTCGCGCTTCGTGCGCCGCACGGAGGGCAACAAGGAGAGACTGTTTCTGCTCTCCGAGAGCGCCGCGCGGCTGCTCCGATGCGAGACCAGGACTCGAGGGCAGAAGCACGGGAGCCATGGCCAAGATGCCGCGGGACATTGTCGATGCCGATCCTGGTCATGCTCCGTTGCGGCCGTCGCCAATTTGCGAGGATGCTCCGCGAATTGACGCTGACCAAGACCAGGGGTGAACGAGATCGGCACGACGTTTCCTTGTTCAGACTTGACTTCATGGTCCCCGTTTCTTCTTCCTCCAAGGATGCCGACGCGCGTCGTGCTTTGCGGCGTGCCCGCCTTGGAGAAGGCCACGTCTGGCCACGTGGAGGCGTGCGAGTGGCGGATACCCCAGCAGGGGGCGGCCGCCGTGCACGCCCTGGGCCTGAAGCGGCGCCTCCTCGTCTCCAAGGAGTTCATGGCGGAGCTGCTGAGGAGAAGGCGCTGCCGCCGTCTGAGACCGTCTGCCGCTCGGGCCGCCGCCGCGCAGCCACCGCAGCCGCCGCGGCCGCCGCGGCTGCCTGCGCCGCCGCGGCCGCTGCCGCTGCCGGTCGCCCAGGGGAGCCGCAGCCGCTGCGCCGCCGCTGCGCCGCCGCTGCGCCGCCGCTGCGCCGCCGTTGCCGACCCCGCCTCCTCAGGCGTCCGATGCCTGTTTGTTTGGTTCAAGGGCCCCCCTCAGGTCTGGATCTGCTCACCAGGGGCAGCCTCTCAACGTTCTCTTATTCGGCGTTTCGGCACTGGGCGAAAGAGAGGTGAGGGGGGGGGGTCTGGCTCGGGACCTCTGCTTAGCGCGACGGTTTGAAAAAGTATGAATCCATTTGGAATCAGATTGGAATCCAGGATTTGGCATTCCAGAGGATCCCACAACAACTGGCTACCACCGGGAGTACTCTTTACAACACGTCTGGCGCCTTTCTTCCTTTCACGAGGGCCGCCGTGAAAACACATCGCACAGGTGCGCGAAGCAACGATTCGCGTGTCCACCAGGGGGGGGAAGGCGGGGCCCCCGTGCTTACTCCACCTGCTTGAAACAGGCGCCAAGAACAGCCAAGATCTACTCTATGGGGGGGGCCAGCGCCGACCAGCGAAGCAATGAATAAGAAAGCGATCAGTCGTTGTTTGACGGTCCCCGGGCCCGGTAAGGGCCCCCTGAAGTTCGAGAGTCGCTTGCACGTAAAAGTGGCCCTTCGCCGGAGTGACCTTGGGTGCGCGGCTTTGGGGGGCGCAATGGGGCCAAGCCCAAGCATGCAAGTCGTTGCTGTCGCACCGCGCGCCAGACCCGCAAGCCTCGCACCACTGGTTACTCTTGCCCTAGGGTCAGTCTTTCGCCTAGCCGAGAGAGCGACGATCCCATGATGTCTGCTAGGCCTCCCAGATGGGGCCCGAGTGGATGAGGTCGGAGGATCGCGGCGCATCGCCGATGCATCGGCGATTCGGCCCGATGTGGAGCCCGATTTTCTCCTCTCCGGCGTCGCCGATACATCGCCGACGTCGCTTTTGCATCGCCGATGCATCACCGATACATCGGCGATGCATCGGCGATACGGCGCGATTCTCCGACCCCATCTAGGAGGCCTCGAAAGACCCACACACCCGACGTCATGGTTTGTTCATAACGTCGACCCCCCGAGGTCTCGAACCCTTCCCCGGGACTGGCTTCTCCTCCCGAGCCGTTTTTGACGGCCCCGAGGCCCGGCAAGGGCCCCAAGACGCCGAATAGATTGTAGGAACTCCCATCGTGAGTTCTTCATGACTCGGGCCGGGCGAAAGGGGGGGATTGGGAAAGGGGGGGTTACGAAATTTGCTGCATGCAGCTGGTTTCGGCCTCACCGAGGGGCCCAATCCTCGATACATAGCCGCCTCCGGCGCCGGGAGGCGCCGGGAAAATCAGCTACGTGAGCTGATTCTCAAACCCCCCCTTTGCTATCCCCCCCTTTCGCCCAACCCGAATGACCCGAGGGGGTCTGTGGACGTTGGAGGCCTGGGTCGGCCGCTGCCGACCCCGCCGCTGCCGCTGCTGGTCGTCGGGCCCCCGCGCGCGGGATCTCGGCCGGCTCCGCCTTGGAGTGGGGGATCGCCTACGCAGTCGATCTCCTCCTCCTCCTCCTCCTCCTCCTCCTCCTCCTCCTCCTCCTCCTCCTCCTCCTCCTCTCCTCCCTCCTCCCTAGTCGATCTACCCCCAAGACTTGATTGCAGGTCAATTCTGTACAGCCAGAGCTGATAGTAAGGATGATCGGCTTCCCAAGGCTACCCTTGCATCCTTTTCCCCATCCGTCATCTTCGATCCACCCTCAACCCCTCTCGACACGCTTCGACATGGGCGTCCGAGGCCCTTTGCATCCTCATCGCGCATCCTGTCCATCCTTGCTGACCACGGTCCATCCCCTCCTCGACGCCTGCCGCCGAGGGAGACGCAGCTCGACGACGTGAGGCGGGCGGCGGCCTCGGGCCAGGTGCGGGGCCTCGAGGCGCTGGTGCGCGAGCCGGGCCAGGACGGCCTGCGCCCGGGCAGCCTCATCGTCGCGTTCGAGGGCGACGGGCGGGTCGGAGGCGCAGGGGCGAGAGTCAGGGGAGGGGAAGGAGATACCGATGCCGCTGCCCGTTGGCCCCTTTTTCGGCCTCCGGGGCGGCCCTCGTCGCCATCGCTGGATTCGCTTCGACATTCTGGTCAGAACGCACCCCAGGCGAGGTCCAGAGTGTAGCGGTTTTCCAGGGCGGCGGGCGGGTCGGAGGCGCAGGGGCGAAGGGCTAGACCCCCTCGAGTC